TTGTACAGTAGTATATGTGATATTAGGAGCCACAAACAGAAGGAAGCCAAAGCTGTCCTCACCCTGCAAATGTTCTCACAGTGAAGTTGGTTCAATTGGTTTTCACAACAAGAAAACACACACACACACACACACACACACACAGAAGAATCAGTATTCCAGTCAGATGTTTCTCTTTCAGTGAGCTCAGCTGGCTCTGGTTCCCAGTAAAACCACCACCAGGGGGCAGCACAGCTGAGAGTGTTTAAATGTGAGTGTGTGTGAGAGATAGTGAGAGCCAAAAAGAGCAAAAGAAAAGTATGCATGATTGTGCAGACAAATGTGTGTATTTGTGTGTGTGCCAACCTTGTTTGTATGCCTGCGTTTGTCGGCCTGTCAGTGTGTGTGTATGTGTGTGTGTGTGTGTGTGTGTGTGAGTCCTGACAAAGGCTCCATCCAGCCATGCTGCAGAGGGCTGCTTGTTCCCAGAGACCCTCAGAGCTCCAGGACACCCAGTCTCTCTGCTGCCTGCAGCCCAGACACAGCAGCCCCGACACGGACACGGTCCCTCACCCTGCTCCCCCCCCCTCCTCCTGGAGCTCCGACACCTGTTTGGATTACTGATGGACAGGAAAAACAGAGACGAGTTTTAAAGTGGGAAACTTAGTATTAGTGTAGGAGTGAGAAGAGAAGAGAAGAGAAGAGAAGAGAAGAGAAGAGAGTATAAGAGAAGAGAAGAGAAGAGAAGAGAAGAGAAGAGAAGAGCTTCTTATCTGGACTACAAGCTTATTAAAAATCTAGTTGATCACAAACAAGCGTTTCTTAATTGAAACTTTCTGGAACTTCAGTGGATGTCGAGTAAACAGCAGCCAACTCTGGCGTAATTTAACCAAAATCTTTCCCTGGAATTGTCGACTTTACTGACTTTTTGTTAGGAACTCTGAACTAGATCTTACTGAAAGGTTCGGAAACTTTGCCGACATCAAGCTGCTTTATTCCTGAATATTTGGACATTTTGGGAACCTTTCTGGGATTCTATTGGAACGCTGCACAGGATTCTGCACTATTACTCTATTGTCACGTCCTTCTGGTTTGAATCTACCCAATTTAAGAGGAATCTTTCTCATTTAAGACCTGAACCATGGCTCTGTCTGTTGGTCTGTGGCTGTGTCTGTACCTGCCGCTGCTGTTTACCAATGCAAAGAGCGTCGGGAAACACGACAGTCAACTCGACACCATAGACAAACCCTTCTCTCGTGTCAAACTGGAACCCCTTTGGATCACCAAGCAGCTCAGGACTGGGGTCGACGCCGCCAATCAGAGCTTTCCCCTCCCTGAGATGCTGGATCTAGACTTGGACCAGCACCACCGCCAGGCCCGTGGTGCTGAGGAGGAAGAGCAACAGTCCACCTTCAGCCAGTCCTTCGAGAATGACTCGGTGACGACGCCGCAGGCCACTGAGATCAACAATGTAACAAACGTGGCAGCAGGGGACGACGATAACGATAATATCAATCTCCTTGGAAACACCACCATCTCTGACCACGATCCCCCGGGGCTCTTCAACCCCTTCTACCCACTGGCTGACAGCTCGTATTCGGCCTACGCGGTCCTGTTCCTGGCCGGCCTGGTGCTGGCGGTGGGCGTGGTGGGAAACATGGCCGTCATGTGTATCGTCTGGAACAACTACTACATGAGGTCCGCCTGGAACTACCTGCTGGCCAGTATGGCATTCTGGGACTTCCTGGTCCTGGTGCTCTGCCTTCCTGTGGTGGTCCTCAACCAACTCTCCCATAGGAGGATCCTGGGTGACATCACCTGTCGCATGGTGCCCTATATGGAGGTGGGTGGGGCATATGTGGAAGTAGGAGGAGGAAGAGAGATTGCTTGAAACTGATTTTGTGTTGCCATGTTCTGGGTTAAACACGTTAATGTGATTTGTCCTGAGGGTGGCGCTAGATTAAAGTTAATGGAGGGTTCCTCCTCTGAGGAGCATGAAGGAGTTCAGAGGCACAAACTGGTTGTGCATATATACATTTATACATCTGCATGTTCAGTCTTTGTTTCTTAAGACAGGAGAGCATCCTAGAGCGGCAAGGTTGAAGAGATCCGACACAGCAGTATCCTTTGGTTCTGGTTTGGTCCTTTTTATACTCTGCCTCACTCACTTTGGAAAAATGTCCAACTGGAAGAAACAGCAGTCTTTAAGTAGAAAACACTAACTGGTCCGTTATCATAATTCACCACAGCTGTGGTGTTTATGTCCTGTGGTTTCCAAGTAATACCGCGCTGTTGAGCCACCCAAAATCACTGCAGGGGAAATTCCTTCACCATCACAGCCCTACATTAAAGTGCAGTTTGTTCTGGTGGAGAAAAGATCAGAGGGTCATTAGTGGGTGATTATCAGGACCCCATTCACACCTGGTACAAGTCTTCACAGGTCCACTTGGTTCAAAGGAACCAACTTGGGACCAGTGTTGGACCGGGGACAAATGATCAGTCTTATCGGATGTGTCAATATGTCTAATACCTAAGAAATATTCTCGATACATTTATTATTTAGTGTTTATTTAGCAGAGACAATGTAAAATACATGTTCTGTACCAGATATACCTAAAAGCTAATTTTACAAACGTTGAACATAACATTGATTAGTAGCTATGCTTGCTTGGGTAATGTTAGCTAACCAACAGCTAGCCAGCTAGCTCAACGTTATGTTTGTAATGTCTGTGTGAGAAATTATTAGCTCTTTAACAGCTAATATAGCTGGCTGGCCTGTAGTTCTTGGTTGTAGAGCAGCAAAATGTTGGAACTAAACCAGTTTTCCTGGCCGAGAGTTGGTTCTTTAACTGTCGAAATGCAATGAACTGGTTTGAGATTAGGCCCTGGCTCCGAACTGGCCCTCAAACTGATGAAAAGGGGTATCAGTGTCTCACAGCTCAATGACTACAGACCTGATTGCCCTTCGACCATGTTTTCAAATTTAAAATATTTTAAAGTATTGCACTCTTTTTTCAATTCCACATCAAGGCCATCTTAACTAAGGAACAGTTTTGTCCAAATGCTGTAGACCAAAATTTAACAGTTCCCTCTTGTGTGGTTTTATATTGTGAATGATAATAAACCAACATTGGCCATAAACAGAACGTTTTCAAATGTCATAAGATTAAACTTCTTAATACAACAAGGATGAGAGTTCTATATCCATTATGTTCAGTGTTTGCTTACGGTTGTGTTACTGTACTGTTTGTCTGAGACCTAGCGTAGAAAATGTGAGAGAGCAGGACTTCACATTATTTCTATAAATTATTCTTTTGAAGCATATAAACACATTATTTTTGGATTGAATTGCTGCTCTTTTACTCTCTATTAGGGCCTATTCAGGTCGACTGCAATATGTATCAGGTCTAATTGTCCTTGAGGTTTCAATATTTACATTTATTGTTAGGCGAGTGTAAGTAGTAATTATGAATTATGTAATTATGGAGCGATATAAAAAGTCCATGAGACCATTGGGGTGGTTGGATGGATCGAATGAGGACTTTGAACCTGGGGACTGGGCTTTGGGTCCCATATGAAACCAAAAGTTGACTTATTTAAAGTTTTAAGTTACATAATGGTCATATATGATGGTTTGGCAAACAACTTTTTTTGTCATTAAGGTATGAGGACTCTTACATCCAGTGTTTCTCATCCGCTTCTTTTCCAATATTGTGAAAACCGCATTGTTAACATTTTGTGTTCTAGCTAACGGTCTTCTTCATTGCTTTTGCTGGCACACTGGAACATTTCTTGGCCGTTCTTTGCTACTTTCACCAAATGTTGATCACAACATGAAACCGAATCACATTGCCTAAGTTCATTGTTCTCAAAACCTCTTGGTGTCAAGGAACCCCAGATAGATACACATCAGGCTATGGACCCGTATTTGATGATAAGATTTTGTTATTCCAGAACTGAAAAATATGAACAAAAAAAGTAATTCTTATACATTCTTTCATTGGGCTAATAACACCACATTATGTAACAATCTGCCTCATTTTGTAATATTTAATACATTTCCCCATATTCTGTAATTTTTTTTTTTTACATATCGTGGTGGCTATTAGAAAATGTGGAAGTTTCACTTTTTTTATGACCTGGATTTTGAATATGCTCAAGCTGTTGAAGCTGGTGGTGTTTTTGAGGAGCCCTCTGGAAGAAAAAACAACAACCTGGGAATGTGCAGTTTGTTAGTATTAAATCTATTGTGTTTATATTAATTAAATGATTGGATCATGTTTGTTGGACAGAAATTCAGATGAATGAAATCAACCAACAACAACAGATGGTTTGGAACTGCGTGATTCTGACTTGTGGGCTTTTGTCCCACCCAAATGCTGTTTGTTGTACCTAGAATGTAGTTAGACTCAAAAGTTATTCTTTGAATTTACTTCAGTATTAACCAATTCTGTTGGGCCAATTTAATTTACATGGGTTGGATCAACTTCATTCACTAGTGAAATTTTAATAAACCTTTCAACTTTTCTGAAAATAGTAAGTTCTTCAAGAGCCACTATAGGTCAGAAAATCCACAGGGAAGCTCAGTGTGTGAGAGGAGTTGATATTTACTCTGTGCAGTTCAGAAATGGTAGAGATCTTTAGAGTTTTAAAAACAAACTTAAGAGCAGAGACTGAAGAGTTTGAGAGTCAGTTGCCTTGGTGACCTGTTACTATGTCTGCTGGAACGTCCTGCTGCCGCTTTCATGGTTTGACAGAAACAAATTTGGGGTGAAAATGATTTGTGACCCGGTCGCTGGCGGCCATATTGGAAGTCCTCCCTTCAGAGAACACTTGATAGTCTGTCGGCCCGTCTGATCAGTCTGCAGATTACAGCTTTGGAGTTGCTGGAAGGTTTATTTTTTCTATTTCGATGTTAAGCTAAGCTAACTGTTGCTTGTTTCCAGCTTCCAGTCTTTGTGCTAAGCTAGGCTAAACACATCCAGGACATTTCTCTGTACTGGATATGCAGAGTCAAATTTGAATTCAAATTTGAATTCAATTTCAATATCAGTTTGCCTCAGGGGGGTTTGTAATTCAATACATAAGCCCTTTGTCCTTAGATCCTCGATTCGGGTAAAAAAAAAAACTTTGAAAAACAAAATGGAAGAAAGTTCAGAAGAGGAATCTCTGCACCAGGAGAAATGACAGCACAGCAGCAACAATCCAGATCCAGATCCAGATCCAGATATCTGCTTTACGCACTGACAACAAGGTTATTATTATTATTATTATTATTATTAGGAGATTAAGGTTGAGGGGCTTGAAGGACCAATATCGGTTTCAGGTTTTAACACAGTAACACAAATTAGATTAGCCACCACATAGCATATCTAAGTACAGGAAAGGAGGAAGTTGACCAAGGCCAATTTCTTAGTTCAGCCAGCTGAGGAAATCTCATTCTCAATTTTCAGAAAAGGTCTAGTCCTTTGAGAAACCACTTTATAGGAGATTAGAGCTGACAACAAGATTTGCTAAGTGACTATTCTCTTCTCGTCTCTGCAGGCTGTGTCTCTGGGCATCACCTCCTTCACTCTTTGCGCTCTGGGTATCGATCGTTTCCACGCCGCCACCTCTTCCTCCCAGCCGAAGGCCCGGCGGGTGGAGCGCTGTCGCTCGGTGCTACTGAAGCTGCTGCTGGTGTGGCTCGCCGCTCTGCTGCTGTCCAGCCCCGAAATCTTCCTGTGGCAGCTCAGCCAGGCCGTGTCCCCGTCCACCGGCCAGCTGGTCGACTCCTGCACCATCACCCCCTCCTCCCCTCTGTCCTTCTACCTGCCCGACTCCCTCCACTCTCTGTTGCTCAGGTATCACCAGGTGAGAATATGACAGACACACAGGATAAACTGAACAGGAGGACAGAGCTTCTGGGTATGTAAAGTGAAGCCAACGTGGAAGTGTCTTAAACCTGTATTCTCTCTAATGGCCAGCAGGGGGCAGCTCCATGGGCTGCACAAAGAAGTCTGATAGTATTGAGTCTTACGGAGAAATGAGCCGACTTCTTACTTGATTTATGAGCTCAGTAAACAGTTTCCTGATGAGTTTATGATGATTACAATGGTACTTCACAAAACCAATGGGTAACATCATGATTGATCCATACTTCACAACAAACTTATGTCCCACATCATGCTGCTTCTTCTGTCTCTTCATCGGCTCACAAATCATTTTAGGATGGAGTATTACATTTTAATTGTGACTGACGATGAAGGACCAGTTACAAATGTACTCACAGTTGAAGTATATTGTCAACTGTTGCTCACAGAATAGTAAGTAATTATCTTAGGAGTCTATAAAGTGTCAGAAAATGATGGCAGCTGTAAAAGTACAAAAAAACACAAATAAAAAAAAAACTCTGTTTCAGGGGCGTATGTGGTGGTGTTTTGGCTGCTACTTCTGCCTCCCCATCCTCTTCACCATCCTCTGCCAAATGGCCACCCGCAACGTCAACAGCGACTCCACCTCTGCCCAAAAGCAGCGTAACCAAGATGACCGCTCCACCAATCAGAAGCGCCAGCAGCACCAGGCGGTGGAGCGTCAGCTGAACTGCACTCTGCTGGCGTTAGCCGTGGTTTACGGCGTCTGCGCTCTGCCCGAACACGTCTGCAATATCACGCTGGCCTACACGCACATCACCGTCTCCGAGGACACGGCTGCCATGCTGGCGCTGTTGCATCACTTCTTGTTGTTCTTCAAATCATCGGTGACGCCGGTGCTGCTGCTCTGTCTGTGTAAGGTAGGTTCAGAAAGTCCAGAAACCTTAGGCAAGACCCTTTTTTTTACTTGACCCCCTCACACCTGCAATGTTATAATGTCTTAAGAGTCCCCTTAATTAAAAGATTTTTTTGGGGGGGCTCAAAAAGGTACGACACAGTACTCGTAGTCATTTTACATTTCTTCAGGTACACAGGTATTGAACCTCCCCTATTTGTCACAGCTCGTCCACACAGCTGTCATCTTTAACACTAACAAACCCTGGATCCCATTTACCTGCTACAGCCTGATGTCCCTGCTGACCCCCTTTTTCACGTTAGCCACTTTGTCCTGTTCAAACAGAACTGATTCCACAGCAGCTACGAGGCCTAATGCTTCAGCCTGTTCTCATTTACAGGGCATCAAATATCGATGTGTTGTCACAACCCTCGCCGTCTCTATTACAGACGCACATAGTACGCACACATTGAATACACTGGTGAGGGAGAGGATAACTAGACACAGGTGAAACGATCAGGGCGGGGCAGAAAATCACAACAGGAAGTAAAACAGACGAAGGCTGTCTTCGATGGAGTCTGCCATGTTGATCGCCATGTTTCTACAGTAGCCCAGAACAAACACTGGCTCTAGATAGGGCCATCTGTGTGTTTTGCAGGCAATGTAGTTCCTCATTCATGCTTAGAAGGGGAGGGTGAAGCGAGGGAGTACCACCAAATCTTACACACTGGGCCTTTAACACACAAATACAAGTACTGTTCATTTAAATAGAGCTTTGGCAGAACCACACAGGTTTATTTTAGTAATTAGTATATATTTATTTATTGCTACTAACTTACTGCTGTGTAAAATACAAAATACTAAGTTTATAAACCAAAACTTTGTACATTTACACATCAAATCTCCGGCCGGTTCAGACCCAGCTGTTAGCAAGCGATAGTCCAGTACAAGCGGTGAGCACACAGACAGTAACATTCAGTAACATCACTGACCTGCATGTCTTTGCCTTTCAGGCTCTCGGCCAGGCCTTCATGGACTGCTGCTGCTGCTGCTGTCAGGAGTGTCAGCCAACCACGGCACAGGGCTCGCCAAGCTCCGCCCAGGTCAAACTGAAGGCAGCCAATGAGACGTCCATCTTCTTCGACAAGGCTAAAGACACGTCGGCCATATTGTCCATCACCAGCTAGAGCCATAGGTCCCTTTTTTGCATCAATCTATCACTTCCTCATAAATCAATTCATCATTTCTTCGTTTTACCCTTCAGCACTGTTTCTCTTCCATCATTAACTTTCCTTTCCCTCCCTCCAATGTTTGCTGTAAATCCATTTTCTCCTCCTTCTATATATTCCTTCCATACATTTTTCTCTCTCCTCCAGAACACTTGTGGATCAATGATTGTCTTTCTTCCTGTCCTCTCCTCTTCTTCCAGAGTACCATTTGTATTATATTCCTTTATGGACACTGCGTTACCCCCCTCCAGCTTCCTCTCTGTTCAGGAGGTGATGTTTAATCTGTAGTGAGATTAGAAAAGTTGCTGTACTTGCACAACCAGCTGTTGTAAAGGCAGGAGCCTGTTTCAGGACTCTCCGAATGGACTCTTTCCTCCAACTTCCTGCTGTATGTAATGTAATGTGTGATATCTGGGGTGGAAAAACCAACATGGATGTCTTCTTTGGTTAGACTAAAGCTGATGTTTTGCTGTGTTTTATGGGGAAGTAATTAGGGCTGCTGTTTACATCCCTTACAGCAGGTTGATGGCGAACACGATCTAAAGATGATATTTTTTGGTTGAAAACGCTGGTGAGGCAGAAGTAATCCAATTGGCTGTTAAAGGTCAATGAGCGGACAACTTACGTAACCATTAAACTGGCTGAAAAGAGTATACAGTTGACGTGTTGTGTATTGAAATGGCAATGACTTGTTTTCGACTTCGTGTTCAAAAGAGGAGGATTCCTAGATGTTTTTGGTGGCTCACCTCATCTTTCTTCTAGCAACAAATTTAGATAAAAATTTTAGGTCACCTTGACTGTGTTCCAATCAGAGCTGTGTTGAAATATGAATGAAGATCTTCCAATATTACCTTGATGGATTAAACAAATGCAGGGAGTTCATTTCTATGTCCCAAGTGTCCTATGTTCCCCAGATTCATATGGCACATAATAGAAATATGACAAAAGGTCCTAGGTTCATATCTACTCTCCCAGAGTCCCATGTTCCCATGGTTAGGGGTTAGGGTTTCAGTTCTACATATCTATATATGTGCTCTCCCAGTATCTTGTGTTCCCCAGATTTATATGGCACATAATGGGAACATGACAAAGGGTCCTAGGTTCCCCAGTTCTTCATACCATGGTCCCATATTCCCAGGGTTAGGGGCCAGAGTTTTGACCTGAACTAAATAGGAGGGTTTGTGTGTTTTAACTAGATATTTAACTAGGGAACATAAGACCTTGGAAACATAGGACCTTGGGTGCATAGGATCTTAGAAACATAGGACCCTGGGAACAAAGGACCCTGGGAACAGGTTATAGTAAAAGTTATTTCTCAAAAGGGAAGAAAGTAGTGAAGTGGGGAAAGGGAGGAGATCTAAAGAGTATTTGAACAGGACTCAGACCTCCTCAGTACTGAGTTGGTCTCTTTGTACAGGAAGTTAAAATGTGTAGGGATGTGTATTAATATGTGTTTAGCACAATGCTTTCACTCAGACTGTCAAATTCAACTAGTACAAATGAAGAAACAGAAGATATGAACGTATCTTATTTTAGTTCTAGAATTACAACTAATTACATCTTTGTATGAAGGGAAGGGAGATTTTTTTTATGTCACAAGAATGTGTATGCCTTTGTATGTTCAGTGTCACAGTGTTAAATTCATGGTATTATAATGAAAACTGCCCATTGTTGGCCCAATATTCTGAAACCCCAGTAGTCCAAAAAATGTCCCATTGGACCGAAAGCCCATTTGTCAGACAGCTTACCTGTAAACCATCAAGAACTGCTGTGAAGGCCTTGTTTTAATACACACTGGATGTGCAGAAAAAGTCAAAGCAAGGTGACCTTTGTTGTAATTTTAACATGTGGTTAACATTGTGAAACCGTCGCAGTTTGGTTATGTTTAGGCATCAAAACTATTT